ACTGTCAGCAAAATTTAATTTTGATTTTACATTTTAAAAGCACCTCAAAGTCAAGCACACTGTGTCAGGCGCCCAGCAACTACTTACATAGTTAAGGAGGTGGCAGCTTCAATGCAGCCATTTTCTGCCCGGCTGGGGTACTTAACCATGCAGCTTCAGTGAGCTATAGCAACGAACTGTGGTCATCTGATGGGATATCCACTCTAACCTTGATAATTCCTCTTTTGGCATTCCAGTGACGGTGAGCTCACCCGTCATCCAGTTGTCAGGTAGCTTCCAGCTTGGAGGGATGTAACAGGAGCTGAATTATGTTAGGAAATACAAGCAGGAGAAAAAGCACTTAAGGAAAAACATCGACAAGGTACTAATAAAAGGCACATGGCCTGCAAATTCCCTTGTCCGCCTTGTCTTTCTGTTGCTCAGGAATGCAGATTTCCAGGTTATAATTGGAATGCCTTTTGCCAAGACCTTTGCTTTCATTACGTTGTTAGTGTTTCTTAGGAGAATCAAGGGTGTTAACAGTTTTTGCATCTGATATCTGCATTCACATGCAAGTTATCTTGCATCTGGATTAGGATACGTGTGTGTCAGTCTGTCATACCAAAGACTTTGGTGAATGTTACCTGAAGAGCAGTTTCTGAGTTGAAATGATCCTGGCATAAAGTTACACCGAGAGCACCTATTTAGAACTATCTAAAGCATTTATTATAATAATAATAATAAAAAAGCATATTGTCATCTAGATTCTATGTGTAGTTGTTTTCATCACCCTCTCTTCTTACCTAAGAGCCTAGTCATTTCTTTTGACAAATAACATGGGATCTGTAGCCAAACCAACTTACAATTTTGACTTTTCAAAACCTTGCCAAAGGTGTGCAGCCCTGAGGTCTGGCCAGCCCTTGTTCATCTGTGCCGGCCAAAGGTTAGGACAAGAAAATTCCAAGATAACAATCCAGGCGCCCTCACAAACCTGGCATCGCTGTGCCTGGACGTCCCACAGGCTCTCGGCAGGTGGGCTCACTCCGGTGACTTGCTAACCTCCCAGCATAAGGTGCGCAGCACGTGTTCCCTTTGCATGACGCTGCGTATTTATTCACAGCTCTGTGAGATCGGCTGCAGTGCATTTTCATTCTGTGTATTGTTCTCTGGGGCTGGTGATGCCATCGCATTGTGCTGAGTTTTTAAGAGTGCGAGCAGCACTGCTGATGTGACTCCCTGGGAGCCTACTTTCCACTGGCCTGGGATAAAATTCGGTGGTTCATTCTCTGTCGGACGCACGCGCGTGCAGGGAGGCAGACACGCCGAGAGCAATGGGGTTAGTGTAGCTGGGACACTGAAAAACTATGCAGGATTCACCCAGCTCCCTGGTGATGGATGGATACTCCAGCAATGTGCCAGCCTTCCTAACCAAACTCTGGACGCTGGTGGAAGATCCTGAAACGAACCACCTCATCTGCTGGAGTTCTGTAAGTACAGCGAATGTCGGGTGTCACTAAGTGCCTGCGCCCAGGTGCGCGGCCCCAGTACCGCATCCCACAGCAACTTCCCCTCGCTCTGCAAGTGCTGGCCAGCTGACTGGGAGAGCGGAAGGACGGGTAGTTCGTCAGGGGCCTTTTGGATATGCTTGATATTATTTATCTGCAGTATTGTGGCTTTTCGGTTTCAAAGGGGCAACTGGTTTGGGAGTGGTTTAATAACAATATTTACACGTTTCACCTGAAGCATCTTAAAGGGTGTCTACTACTGAATCTTCTGAAAATCCAGACTCTGAGAGGTTTTTCCACCTTGCTTCAATCTGTGGTTCCCTAAAAGTTTCTAGAAAAGGTGCAAAGCCCTTAAAAAAAAATTCCACTGCTGTCTGTATTATTTCACAAGTGTTTCTTAGCAGCCTTTCAGAAATGCCTTGGGAGAAGGCAGCCGATAAACAGCATTCAGACCTCAGGCTAAAACCTATAGTTTAAACAGATCTCAGGCTGGCACCCTGAATCACTCACGTTTTGGAAGAGCTTTACTTGATTTTTCAATGAGTCTGTGTGATGATCATGGTGATGTGTGTATGTATTGTCTGCACAGCTTCATAGCGATAGATTGCTTTGGCTTCTTATTTGTCACTGAGGCATTAATATACTAAGTGCAATCAGAGAATTAAAATGGTTTATTTGTCCCCCTCGTACAGCATTTTGATACCACGTTGTGCTTTTGACCTAAGGCTTGCTGCAAATAATGTGATTTGTCTTCAGCAGGGAGTTATCTGATAAGTTGTGTGTGTAAACTTGTTCTCCAAAATGAAGAATCTGTAACAAAAGCAGATCTAAAGGGGGGGGGGAAGTCTAAAGCAGCCTTTCTGTCACGTGTTTGTGTCCAGTAGAGTTTTCATCCAAAACTTGAGACAGGATTTGAGCTGCATTGTTACCCAAGGCAATGGTCGCTTTCTGATGTTGGTGGCCATACCATGCCAGGTTTTGGTATCGTGTGTTTTAAACGAGGACTTTCAAACTAGGAAGGATTTTCTAACATGAATAAATAGTTCCCTCTCTGTTACACTCACAACATTGTTATTTTTGACTGCCCACCACCACCACCATGCACTGCTTTCCTGCAACCTAACATAGGCTTCAGCTACATTCTTGGAGGTCTTGGTAAGGCTTTTAAATGTCCAAGTTTCCCATGTTGCATGTTCCCACGTTCTTCCTCTTCTATCCATCAGTGTTGTTGGAGCTGAGAAATTGTGTGCAAGCCTAAGATTTCTGGATGTAATTAGAACTCTTAGAAAATAGGACCTGTAAGGACTTGTGAACTGTTTCTTAGCATGAAGGAGAAGAGATGGAGAGGAAACATGGTAATGGTTTATATATACACTAAAGGCTGTTGTAAGGTGGAAAGGAAAAGTCTGCTGTCTGTCTCCATGGTAGATTGGATGAGAAGTAATTAAATGAATTTTTGAAATGGAAGGTGCAGTTAGGAAGAACTCCTAGCAAATTCCTGGAGTAGGTTGCCTGGGCAGGGCACAGGATGTCTGTCATCATAGGTTGGTCAAAAACAGTTAAGATGAGCATCTGCCAAGACTGACATGCTGCAGAGTGAATTTTGCCTTGGGCAGAGAAGTGTCTCCCCGCTTGTGCTCCCATGGTGTAAGACAAGCAAGGCACAGCTGCTGTGTGGGAGCAAGCTGGCACATGCACGGTTCATCGGCGAACACACCGTGACTCCAAAGTCTCTCGTGTCTGTAGGAACCCCTTTGGGTGCGCCAGCTTCTGCGAACACTGCAGCCCTGAATTCAAAGGAATGACTTCTCAAGACAGGCCATAAGGAGATGTTCAGGTACAGGAAACCCTCGTGTTTCTCATTTTACATCAGCCTGGGACACACAGCTGTATCCCAGAGAGAGTGCGTGGGCAGAAGCACAAGGGAAGCAGGGTGAACCAGCTCTGTCCCCAGAACAGCCTTTGCCGTGTTGGGAAACCCCGGTCCCTGCTGTCATGTCTGCGAGCTCAGTCTGTGAGGATAATTTCAGCATACGGACTGTTGGTGAATCTCTTAAGCGCTTGACCAGCCTTTGCTTCCGCTGCATGGGGTAAAGAATGAGAGGAAAGACCCTGGTGATGGTCACAGGGCACTGTCGAGGCAAACGGTCGTGTTCAGTGTTTGCAGCAGTGAACGAGGAGCAAGAAGCACAGCTGACAGAGTCATGTGTTTGTGGGCGTGCAGGGTTAACTGTTAGAGCTGACAAATGAGCCAGAGCACAGAGGGAATTGGCACCGTTTGGTGATGGAAATGTAGTAGCAATGAGTAGGGCAGCAGGGTTTGCCAGCTGGCTGTTTTCCGGTGGCCGTGGGCAGGCTACAGGCACCCACCGGCACCTCTTCAGTCGCTGAATTTTCTCGTGGTCCTGATTACGCTCCCTGTTTTAGAAACTTCCAGGCAGCCCTGAGAGCACCCATGCAGCTACGGACCCTGTGATGGGTGCGTGGTGGGACCCACACACCGCTGGTATGCTCCTACTGCCTGCAGAGCCTGAGCGGTCACTCTTACGAAACGCTGTCCCCCCCTGTCGAAAACCAGTCCGCTATGAAATAACCTCCCAAGCTGACACACCACTTGACTGCCGGTGATAACGCTGAACACAGCAGGAGGATGACTGTGGCTGTGCTGGTTTCAGACCCCTCCCTGCCAAGACCGCGCAGACCCTGGTGTCTTTAGCTAGCTGTCCCTTGAAACTCGGCTGCAGCTGAGTTGGTAAGTCCCAAATATCTGCTGATGGCTTTGCCGTGGCATAGGTCTCCGCATCTTGCCTGCCCCCCACAGAGCTGTGGAGAGCTTATGCTGCACAGTTGGGTGATTCCCCAGGTAGCTCTTTGCAGCTCTGTCTCTCTCCACAAGCAAAGCCAACGTGAGGCCCTGGAAGACAGTGTTCTCTGCACGTTTACGAAAATGCCATGTGTGCCCCAAACTCCGTGTCTGAAATCATGATTCTTCATTCCTTCAATCTCCTGGTGCTGCCCTCCCCCCCCGCCCCCCATCCGGAGCAGAGATAGGATTTAAGGTGGTCCCTCTGTCACCATATCCTGGAGACACTGATCTGTTGAGGTCGGAGATTTAGAAAATGTTGTTTCTAAGTGTTGGTTACAGATGAAAATCAATTGCTAATTTTTCTGTCCCTTAGAAAGGTCACGTGGATTGCTGTTTGCAAAAAGTTTCAAGGCAGCTTCAGTGCGTTCTGTCTCACAGGCCCTCTCTGTCCCAGCTTAACTGCCAGCAGGTGGAAGGCCGGGCAGGGGAAGCACATGCCTGCAGTGTGTCTGTCTCTGCCAGCGATCCCGGGCAGTTTGCCGTGTTTTGCAATCACGGATCCTGGCAATGCAACCTCAGAAACGGATATTTTATCTGGTTAACATGCGTGTTGCTAGCTTGGACTGTAAAGCATGACTGTTAACATTTTGTGGTT